AGTCACAGATTTTTCCCATTTAAATTTTACTATTAAGTGCTGTATAGAATACGTATTAAAAACTTTTTCTGTTTCAGGTGAAAAAGGCTTATTACAACTTACCCAAAAACCTATCATCCTGACCAGTATAAAGGAACTGAGGATGCTTCTGTCAAGTTCCGAAGATAACAGAAGCTTATGAAGTTTTGGGAAACTTTCAAAAGAGGAAGATGTTGACAAGGGATTTTTTAATATTTCACCAGCTCAAACTCCAGCTGAAGCAGAGCAGTATGCAGCAAAACTTTATAAATCACAAAGAAAAAAAAAAACATTTTTCTCCAATTACAATGGGACATACTCCTATTTTAACTTTGATGAATGGTCAAAGGCTCATTATGATTTTAATCGTGAGGAGAAGAGAGGGTGCAAAAATTCGACATAAAATATATCAGGAGAGGAAGTTAGCACGATTGAAAGGGCAAAAACAGACTCAGTTGTTGCACTATTTTTGTTTGGGAGTAATTTTTTACATGCTTTACATGATGCGTCACAATGAGTATGAAACTAGTAAAGATAAAGGTAAATAGTACATTTTTATATAATTTATTTTAAATGTAAAATATGTGTAATTTCTATGTATTGTATATATTTTCTGAACTAAACACTTAATGGAAGGAATAAAAAATGGAATAGTGAAAGTATATAGGAATAATCCTAATATAAAGTGAGCAATTCTTAATACACGTAACTGGATATATATCGAGTTATTCATTAAGTTTCTGCATGTAACTTTAAGTTACATGGTACATGCAGTATTACTGTATTTTTATTGTATATTAAAAAGTGAGCTACACCTGTATAGGTCATATAGTGCAAAATTAAGTACCAGTAGATTGATGCTGCATCCTTTTTTTTTTTTTTTTTTTTTTTAAGGAAAGGTTACCAAAAAAAAAAAAAAAAAACACCATTCGGCATCATTCACTCTATCACTATCTTTCCAGACGTGTGCGAATACTACAGTTCAGATGCCCCTCCAAACTGCAAATATCCTCACCCCTCCTTCAGAAGCAGGCACTGTTACCTCTCACCTCCAGGACTCAAATCTGGCTAACTAGTTTCCCTGAATCCCTTCACAAATGTTACCTTGCTCACACTCTAACAGCTTGTAAAGTCCAAAAAAAAACATTTTCTTCCCCTCACTCATATCTAGCACACTCAAACATGCTTTCTGGATGTACAAAAAAAAAAACCTCCTTTACTCCCTCCAACCCCTCCTAGGATGACCTCTTCCCAGCATTCCCTCCACCACAGATTTATACATCCTACAAGTCATCTGTTTTGCTCCATCCTCCTCCTCACTGCAACATTTACAACCCATGTTTCACACCCATGTGAGTGTTGGTACCACTATACTCTTACATTTCATTTTTTGCCTCCATGGATAACGTTCTTTGTCTCCACAGATGCCTCAGTGCACTGCACCACCTATCCTTTCCCCCTCTTCAGTTTTATGGTTCACCTTGTCTTTCATAGATCCATCTGCAGACAAGTCCATCTGAACACATTCACTTCCTCCATACTCTCCCCTTCCAGCCTTCCAGTCTGATATCCAATCTTCCATTAAATAAATTATTTGCTACCCTCACCACCTTGCTCTTTTCTATGTTCACTTTTAATTTCCTTCTTTTAACATGCCCTCCCAAAATTCACCCACCAACTTTTGCAACTTCTCTTCAGTATCTTCCAAAAGCACAATGTCAGTGGCTAAAAGCAACTGTGAAAACTCCCATTTTTGTATTAGATTCTGCCTATTTTTAATCCCACACATCTTCCCATGCCCTAACATTCACTTACTTTACAACCTCATTGATAAATATGTTAGATAACCATGGTGACATCATTCATCCCTGTCTATGGCCTGCTTTTACTAAAAAAATAATCTCCTTTTCCTACATACCCAAACATGAGCCTCACTATCCTCACAAAAACTCTTTAACCGCTTTTGGTAACCTACCACCTATTCCATATATTTGCAACATCTGCCACATTGCTCCCCTATCCACCTTATCATATGCCTTTTCTAAATCCATGAATACAAGAAAATCTTCCTTAATTTTATATAAATATTATTCACTTATGTTTCAATGTAAGCACTTGGTCCTACACTTTCCCTCCATGTTCATCTGCAACTCTGTTCTTGCCTACTTAAGGTTAAAAAATATATATATATATATATTCTTAATGTATATATTAAACAGAATTTATTTAAGCTACATTATATAAAAACTTTAATACACTGATATTATAACATCAAATGATACATAAATTAAATTCTACTGTACAAGAAATGTGACCTTGTTTGATGTATGCTATTTATGAGATAATTTAAGCCTTTTTATCAGAAGCACAATTTAAAAGATGTCATTTAGGCATAAGTTGTTTTTTAACACAAGCATATTACAGCTGACTATATATTTTACAATATTTGAGCAATATAATATCTGAAGTTTTAGTAACAGATTAAATATATAGAGAACATAATTCGGTATCTTACTCAAGAGAAAAGTAAAGTTCAAATATTGAACTAAAAGAGCAAAAAATGATTACTCCTATATTACTCCTACATTCATATTAATCTCACACTTTTTTATATTGTTAAATGATCAATTAAGGACAGCTCCATATGAAAGTTAGTACAGAACATGATCATAACAATGAACACCACGAACAAGAATTACTATGACACATGCTTTCATGTTGCCTTAATGTTTAAAAAATCTGCAAAATATGAGTCCCAGCTTTAAATGAATTTTCCCTGGCCCATGTTATAGAAACTACTGAATACAGCAGTATACTAGCAATAGTAATGAAGAAAAACCACAGGTGCAGAGCAAGATTTTACTGTGACAATTTTTCACACTGTAGAGTTTTATCAAGTCAGCGTGATCTATATTCTGAATGAATTCTTCATATTGCCGGAATTTTTACAAACTGGATACAATAGCAGAAAGGAGAAAAGACAGAAGCAGAGAAAGTCTGCATTGTGATTAATCTCTCCACACAGAGAAATACTGTCACAAACTTTTATTGTAATTAAGTTCTGCACAGAGTGAAATGTTGTGATATCTGCACAATACTGACATGACAGTTACTGAGTGAACAATGGTGACTGTGTTTCCTGCTTTGTGTCAGCCTACTTTGGTGTTAAACAGCCATTGTTGTAAAAATAAATTATCCAGGTTATGTATTTAGTCTGCACATAATCATGGCAAAATATTAATGGTGTTCATCAGGTGAATATGTTAACATGAGCCTATATTTTTCACTGCTGGAATTTATTTACAACATAATGTGGGGGCATTCAGTCACAAAACCTGATGTCCAAAATAATTAGCAATTCGTTAAAAAACTGAAATGACATTTGTTTCAAATGACTGCATGAATAATAAAAGAAAAAAAAAGAATACTGTATGTATATTAAAACATATGGTAATATCTCTGGCATTAAGTTATTAATTGTCCCTAAGAAGGTTTGTAAATCCTTAATATAATTTAAGAGTACTAAACGTACCGTACCATACTCTCAATTCGAGCCTCTTCAATTTTACCATTATTATTCTGAGTGAATACAATGAATGCCTGCTTAGCAACTGTTTGCAGAATGTAATACTAAATAACCCAGAAAAGCCAATGATAGCCTCCCCTTCTGAATGACAGTTCCCACTCATATAACCTCATGTCAGAGGCAACCATCATCAACAAACCGGGTTTGAATGTACATGCTGTTAGTCTGACAGAACATGTCACTGAATATTTCATGCCAAACATCAGTATAGCTTATCAAAAAATCTAAGAGAAAATAAAATAAAAATACGTAATTGTGAATATTTCCCCTAATCAATCATTAATTAAATAAAAATCCACATTTCTTAATCAAAACATATCCCACAAATATATAAATCTGACTAAGTGAAAACTGAGAAAAATGTGTGTAGGAGCAGCAGCAGCAAACAAAGGTGGCAGAGTGTATTAGCACACACAATTATTGGCCCTCACTCCCCCACTTGATCAATCACAAGTAATACTGTACAAGCTGGACAGAACTAATATATATGTGGTAAGTTAGTGTAATTAGGCCTGCTGGCCCATGCTAGGCAAGTTTCCTTCTCAAAAAGCAACCTATCTCACTCATCAAACCAGACTGTGAGATATAAAGTGGGCCAGCAAGCCACAATGGTTGTAATAAGTTATGTAGAATTTAACCTAGAATGACCCAATAAAGTCAAATAATATGACTCATTTCCATGGGGTCCTTGTGGTTAGAATCCTTGAATAGGGTTACCAGTAAGTTTGTCCAAAAAATTTAACTTATTTTGGATAATTGTTATTTCATTTACTTGTATTACTGACATTTGTAATGAATGGGGAATATCCAGGGAGCAAAATTTTGAACACA